GTACTGCCAATGGCTCGGTTACGCTGACATAGCCCCTAAAAGAGCTTAGTGTAGGAAAAAATGTATCCTAGTAACTTGAACATATCATAGATGGCGTACGAATTGTTTGAAGAAATCGTTTTTTTTTTTAAACAATCTTAGCGACAATCAAGGTGAAAGCCATACATAATATAATATAATAATATGTACTTATAATATTAATATTTATTTTTCTTTCCTCTATTACTAAAATCCTCGACGGGTTATGCTAGCTCACCGAACATGAAGGCGAGCTCACGGGGTTCAGCTAGGGAGACTTTGCTAACGTCTGCTCTAGCAAGAGCAGTGGTTCGCATGTACCACCGGATCGGAATCGCGACTCACTGAGAAGATCCGGCGAGAAATTCAGTGGGTTGTATCTATGGGCTAGTTTGCATGTCGAAACTCTTCGGAATCTACTAGTTCGACGAGGACGGTGGCCGGTGTTTGAAGAGCCTAAAGGCACCGAAAGTGAATCCGGGGGATCCGACAAGACAATTTTTGGGCGACGCCAGTTTTCTTTCCTTACTTTCCCGTCACCTGGTTGGACTAGGTAGTTAACAGTGGCCACGATAGAAGGGTTATCGTATCACGCCTTTTTTTTAAAATAACAACTCATTTAAATTGGGTGTCTAATCAAATAAAACCCGTAAACACATGTTTTTTCATCTGTATTTCGTAAATAAATTAATAAATCAATTCGATACAATAATTACAAAATAAAGGAGACTGACGCCTTTGAGTAAATTAACACTTGTGTAATGTAATTGAATACATAGACAGTAGTGCATATCAATAATGAAGAGTACTTTTATTGTTAGATTGATAGCTTAAAGTAACTACAATAGACAAGGTCTATTTACGCAAATTATTTTTATTTAGCGTACGTCCATTTTACGAGTGCCAGTTACAACAGTTTTTAAGTTCACTTTACATGTTTGATATCATAATATTCGCTTATATTCCTTCGCAGAAAGAAGAAACGATCGCTTGGAGTCCCTTGCAGTTTGTCATCACGATCCAGACAGCGGTAACTATACGATCCGATAAGGAATGAAAGTGAATACCACGTATGTTAAATATCCATCTAGTTACATATCCACATAGCGCGAAGATCAGACAGACTGTGCGGCAGAAAGACTCCCGAGTGGAGACTACGTATGGGAAAACCCAAAATGGGATAACCACCTACCAGATGAACCGACGACCTAGTGAAAATCTCTGGGTCACGTTGGATTTAGAAGGACCAGTGGACCGGTCGCACCGGAGATCGATTGGAGAGGCCTAGGTTCACCAGTGATCAGCTGAATAGGCTGAGATGATGATATTACCTAACCCATGACCAATGATATTAAATATATCCAAATTCGTTACAATTTTCGCCTGTTTAAAACCAAAGATCGTGTCTAATCGTGAAAATAAAACTGCAACTTAAATACAAAGCAAAGAAGCAGTTTTGATTACAACTTTTTTTATTTTATATTATACGAGAGATTTCGTTTACAGTATTGACATAAACAATTTTAATTACCGTCTTTCCTGGGCTTGTAATGTTTTATTAAATGATTTTAACATTTACAACGAAAGCTAGTCAACATTACAATACATTGTGCACCTAAACAATTATCATATTTATATCTATCTCATCACTAATGCGTTCTAACACTTCTTACTTGTATGTGTGGCGGGCGATTTTAAAAGCTTGTACAAAAATTCATAGAACTCTCAATCCGAAATCTCAAATTCTCGATTTTCTTTGTTGACCTCGATCTGGTATTCTTGTTCTCAATATGAAATGAGAGTTATAATAATTATGTACGATTTAAAATAACATAATTTAAAAAAGATGTTGAAAAAATATACAGAAATAGCTTGATTACTTATAACTATATTACAGTTGAATACTGTTGACATTTGTAACTTATTATTTATTCGTAGCATTAGTGCAGTAAAATATTTGACTGTCAGCGAATAACCCTTAGTCGGTCATGACCATGAAAACTGTATTTGAATCGATAATATAAAAATAATAAAAGCGAAATTACACCGCAAAAATACTTTAAAGTATGTTAAAGTCTGATGAAAACCAAATGAAATATTAAGTAATTACTCATAAATAAAATTATTTACGTTAATTCTAGAAGTGGATAACAGTTTTCTGAAAGCAGCTGGATGATTCTTGCGGCTTAAATTGAATCGAAGGCTTAATTTTGAAGTAGATATAAAACATGAGTGAAATTGAACATTTAGTTATCGCACTTACATTATTACCACCCACCACAGTCGCGAAGCTAAGTGTACACGCTAAAAGGCAACTTGTTTCACTTTAATATTTCCTAAATATTATTCCGTACACAATCAACAATTTCACACGCATTACATGTTCAGTATAAAAATTAAAGAATCACTTCTACCATAAATGCACAATAAAGAAAAAAATTAAAAAATGTTCGATACGAATAAAAGATGGCGCCACGTATTTTTAATTGCGCTTATTTTTAATGACTAAACATCTAAATCTTAGCAAACGGTGCGGTATCAATAGCCGAAAGACAGTTTAAAAAAAACGCTATACAATTCAAGACTAGAAAAATACCTACACAAAAAATTAACTTGGCGCGAAAATTATAACCAAAAAAAAAAACAATTCCGTTTACCTTTTTTTTTTCTATTCGCTATCAACTATGATTATGACACAAAACGTTTAAAATTACAATTCTTTACAATTATTTTTTTGCGCTAAAATAATAATTATCACATTATTAATCATTTAAATACAAAATGGAACTATTCTTAGCAACAGTTACTAGACAACATACAATAATTTAGTGACTTAACAATGACTATTAATAATTACATAATATATTTTAATATAATAAATACAACTATATTTATGTTATAAACATTTTATGTTTGATAGTATCGTTTTGACTTAACATAATTTGTCTCTTTAACAGCATTTCAATATTTTATGAATTATTGGTGGATTTCATTATACAATTATTTACCTTTCATTGTAACATGCTTTGATAGATTTTAGCACACAGTTATTGATTCTGAAGCCTATTCCGAGACAAACTGGCTGCTTGGCTAAAAAGTACCATCACCAATGAAGGTAAATGCCTGGCTTAAAAGTACCATCACCCATCCATAAATGCCATTCTCTTTCAACCTCATTTGGGGAGATACTCGATTGTTAGGAGTTTCCTACGGCCAAGTTTCCTTCGTCTAACATTTAATATTAGCTCAAACATAAATCCACACTTAACGTTCGAATCGTCGCTACAAATACTGAGTTACTTAAACTATTTGTTTGTTTAAAAAAAAAAACCTTTTCAATAGTACCTCTGGAAAAAATGTGCGAAACAAACATCTATGACTACCTCTGCTACGTAACACTTATCTGTGTATTTATTACGACGAAATTATCAATAGATGTGTCATTTATGGCATATTTCAATATTTTTTTGTTCTGTAATAGCAAAGTGATAAAAATATTCTTTTTTTTAAGGGATTTTATGACCTGGTAACTGAGACCTTTAAGTCATGTCTTATTTTAATTTATATTCATATTTTTATGAAAAATGATATTATGGAGTGAAATGAAATGAAGACGACTAATTTGAGACATTAATCAACTGGGAGGAAATTAAATGAAATGAAATGGGATGAAATATAATCTCAGTAAAATGGTGGTCATTTACTAAGATTTTTTCAGTGGACTTTTTGGAGGATCCCGAGAAGTTACGTCCAGCGGCTTTGTTTCATTGTTCCACATTTGTGCACTTTCACAGATATTAAACAGTTAATAAACCACCATTATTACACATTTAAACCCGAAGAAACACTAAATAGACAAAATAAAACAAATCACACAACTTCACTCCTCGCGTTCCCGCTAAAAAGTCAAAAAAAATTTCATATCCATCATTACATATAGGTACTATAGATTTACGTTATGAATTTAAAAAAACATATAATCTGTGTCTTCAACTGTCATTACAAAACGTTATATAACTCTTGTTAATCAGATGAACGTACATATTTAGTAGTAATAACGTTAATGATACCTACATATTTGTAAACACCATATGGTACATAATACTTATGAGAATTTCCGTTGCCGACATCATTCGATGCGTATTAAACATAAATTAATTAAGCACACACATATTGCTTGTACGGTTTTTGGGCTACGGGTGGTCATAGATAATAAATCGTGGAAAGTCGATGGTCTACAATAGGACTGTCAAGGCTTAAACAAATAAAACATGAACTGGCCATACGAAACATAATTATCAATCTAAAAAGAATATGCACCGATCCTTTATAATAAATATATTTATCATTTTAATTACTACTTTATTAAGAAATGAATAATTATGAAATTATGAAGTGATGAACCCCGCGCTGTGATTGGTCAAGCGCATTGGGGCGCCATGTTTGACTCTGACGTAGAAAAAAGAATGGCATCAACCAAACCATGACAATGTGTTAATCTTTCAAAGAACAAACACGCGTTTGGCTTCGTTCGGTTTTAGTTTTTCTTAATAAGTCTAAGCCATTGTAGTCTAAAATTACCATTCCATAATACAGATAGAATAAAAAAAAAATACGTGTGGCACTCGGGGACTGCCGCGGTAAAGCTATTGCATAGCATTTTTATCAACTTATGCAATTATAATTAGACATTATTAAAACAATAATAAAATACGACCACGCTATATTTAAATAAACATTAACAAAAGCAAAACATTAACTGTCCCCTTCACACTCACAAGCTAGGCCGCGCGAGAGAGAGATGGGCAGATTTTTTATGACGCACATGCAGTGCGACGTCACGCCGCGCGCTTATTCACAAACACTACACAAGCGCAAAGTGTGAATGTGTTGAACGCGAGCTACATGGTAGGTGGAGTGGGGGGTGTAAGGTTTTATTTTCGTTACGGAATTTCTTGATTCAGTCGCCGCGCTCAAAGCCCGCGATAAAAGCTCTGCAATAGCTTAAAACTAAAACTTGATAGTTATTTTGTTGCATTAGGTTTATGTTTTCATCTAAATTTCGGTGCTCATCATTGAATACACTGAATTATTGTACTTAGCACGATCGTCTTACAGACGGTTTCTGTTTGAGTGCTCCGTCGGCTGTTTAAACATCGAGCTGGGCCAGGAAGTGCGTTTGCTGCGGGTTGTGTTGGTGAGGGTGGGGTGCCAAGGCGTCGATGTCGGCGTGGTCGCGGCGGCGGGGAGGCGCGCGCCCTGGGCCCGCGCGCGGCAGCCGCAACGGCGCCGGTAGTAGCTCTGGCATCACGCTGTGGTGCGTCACCAGCGCCGTCAGGGACGTGAACTCTTTTGTGAAGCCCTGCGACATTGTTTGTCGCTTAGAACTGGTGGTTTTACTGGTGGTAGGACCTCCTGTGAGTCCGCGCGAGAACGCACCACCACCCTGCCTATTTCTGCCGTGAAGCAGTAATGCGGTTCGGTTTGAAGGGTGGAGCAGCCGCTGTAACTATACTTGAGACCTTAAAACTTATCTCACTTGAGTAAATGTAATGTTGTTGTAAATGTCTATGGGCTCCAGTAACCACATAACAGCAGGTGGCCTGTGATCTCGTCCATCCATCTAAGCAATGAAAAAAAAAGAACCATTCGTGAACGATAGGAAACCGACTAAATAGGTAATAACCGTCCTGCTAAAATTGTGAAGCAGTTAAATAATAATTGAGACTTCCCCTTCTCACCACGAGAGGGTGGTAGCTGTCGGGTTTTAGTTGAAAACAAATGACAGATGACCTTGAAGTCTCGATTTCATTGACTAAAGCCTATTAAAGTTTTCAAGCCCTATTATTATATTGCGTATGAAGTCATCTTACCCCAATTGTATTGTATACACAATGCAAACTGCCCCACAGAATGTGTGAAAAAAACCTTTTAATAACATAATGTAGGTCATTTCACTATAAGGACCTTTTAAACAATCGCTAAAACCTTTATTATTGTTCCTCGGCTATTTCACGCATTGGTTTTACCTTAATTTTGTATCCTTTAGGTGTCCTTAAAATAAGATAATGCGCTATGCCGGTCGGTTGGAAATCACGAGGGACTCTCACTGAAAGAGCATAGCATCCGGCCTGAGTCGTGCTCCCTCTTACGAGAAACGCACCAACAGGTTGACTGCTCAGCACTTCTAATGCTATCTGAAAGAAAAGGACAACCATATTTTATTTATAGTACTCACAAATCTTAGTACTAAGTTCTACTAATAGATGGCGCTGTTAAACTTAAGCAGAAGATGTGAAGAAAAGAAGAAAAGAGCCACTATTAGGTATGAATTGCATTACTGCGCGGCTAGGTACCACTGCCCTGCCTATTTCTGCCGTGAAGCAGTAATGCGTTTTGGTTTGAAGGGTGGGGCAGCCGTTGTAACTAATTATACTGAGACTTTAGAACTTATATCTCAAGGTGGGTGGCATATTTACGTTGTAGCTGTCTATGGGTTAGGCTGTATGGGCTTAGATCCCCTTGCCTTTCCTAATAAGGAAAAATGGTACAAAAAAAATGTCTATGGGCTCCAGTAACCACTTAACACCATGTGGGCTGTGAACTCGTTCACCCACCTGAGCCATAAAAAAAAATATCGGTTGTCTGTAAAGTCGGTTTACTGACGATAGTTGAACGTGACGACGTCATAAGAAAATACTGATGGAATGGTTTTATTTTTCAAATGAAAATTTTAATTTTATTTATTTGATAGATATTTTGTATGGACAATTGACACCACATTCACTTTTCACTGAACTTCATACTTGACGAAAACATGTAAATGTATTATTGTATAGCAGCTGTCCACTCGGATGCATCGCTCACTCAAGTAGGAGAGAGACAGATGTCGAACGCTGCCGAACGCGGAGGCCGATTGTGCCACTTTGTCGCTCGTTGCGCGCTCTCTCTTGCACTTCAAGCCTTAAATGGAACGCCTCAATGAGTCATGTTTTTTCGTGCGTGCAGCCGGCTCCATCGAATTATAAGTGATGATATCACGTCAAAAAATATCCACGTAATTCCTTCCAAATTCAGCATTATGAATTCAATGATTCTCACCTCTCTAGGTATCCCCTGCTGGAACCACGGCGCCTGTCGGAGCTCAGGTTCGGCTCTCGGTACATTATTATTTCCTGAACCGTGGGAGATACCTCCGCCACACGACGAGGCGCCTGATGAGGAAGACGTAGTTCGACTACAAACCGCCGACGGACTTCTGAAGAGTTTCAATTGTTTGCTTTAATCTATACTAATATTATAAAGCTGAAGAGTTTGTTTGTTTGAAGGCGCTAATCTCAGGAACTACTGGTCCGATTTGAAAAAGGCTATAGGCTATATAACACAACTCTAAGTCCAATACAAGTGGAGCACCAATAAATAATGTTTCAAAATAGGGGTTTAAATAGCTCCTTATCATTCTATAATTCAAAAATATTTTCACTTTCTAAGTGAATGAAGTGGGAGGTAAAATTTAGCGTCATGCCAAAGTAACTATTCCACGGGGACGGAGTCGCGGGCTAAAGCTAGTGAAATAATAAGCATAATCTGTTAATCGGCTGAGCATGAAATTGGAGGGCCTTTACTATTCTTAACGCAATTTCGTATTAATCAAATCAGAACAGATCGCTAAATACAAAATGTTTGAGCCTTAATAAGTTGGATAGCATAATGACTGGTAGCAGCTTAAAGCATAATGAATCTAAGCATTTAATGTTACATTATTACAATACTATACTAATCGAAATGCATTTGTATTTAGTTGTGGTAATTGCATGCCTGGCTTTGCATGCCTTTAAGCTTGCAATAGCTGGATATCTTCATTTAAACCTAAATAGTTAGCAACCAACATTGAAGCTTTTGCAATCATCCGTCACATAGTGGCTATTACAATGGAAATGACTATAAAAGGGAGATTTCAGCATCATGTCCGAAGGTAGAAAGCAGCAGACTATTATATTTGAGGGTACAGACATTCAATTAAGAATTCAACCTGAGTTTAAATTTTTAGAAAAATAATATAATATTATCGATACTGTTGATTGAGTAATATCACCCATCGATAGAACCCACTGAGTTTCCCGCCGAACCGTCTCAGCGGGTTGCGATTGCGATTCGGTAGTAGATTCAGCGAAGCACTGCTCTTGCTGGGACCAATGATAGGAAGCTCCTTCAGACTCGGCCCCGTAAACCCATAAGCCCTTCGAGGCTTTTGGTAAATAGGTATGCAAAAAAATAGTAATGCCTAATTGTTTCGGACATATGTTTGTATTTCATATCAATTCAGTGCCTCATTGACTTAGGCAAAGAATAAACACACAGCATATTTTTACTGGTGGTAGGATCTCTTGTGAGTCTGCACGGGTAGGCACCACCACCTTGCCTGTTTCTGTCGTGAAGCAGTAAGCGTTTCGGTTTGAAAGGTGGGGCAGCCGTTGTGACTATACTTGAGACCTTAGAACTTATATCTCAAGGTGGGTGGCGCATTTACGTTGTAGACGTCCATGGGCTCCAGTAACTACTTAACACCAGGTGGACTGTGGACTTGTCAACCCTTGTAAGCAATAAAAAAACTCAACGTACCCATTCTTCGTATTGTTACATCTTCGAAAATCTGTATCCAGGTCGTTTTGCATGAGGTTATCATTGCGTCGAGGAGTGGGAGGCACTATGGGATGATCTCGGTTACTCTCTCTAGTCCTCGCTTCGGCTTCTGAGGCCTCGTTGATGTATCCCGCGTTTAAACATAACGGCAAATTAGTTGGACTGCAAACAATAATTCACGTTTTTCTAGTTAAAAGCAACGGGTTCGAATACTGGGGTTCTAGGCGATCTTCAAAAGTCTAGAGCTTGATAGTTCTTTTTTTATAGTACACCAGTTGCCAATTCTTTCAAACATAAATAAAGCTTGCCTTTACAATAAAAAGATTAACAAAGGTTAAAAATTGCAAACCTTATCATATGTCATGCATTAAAAGGCACTTTCTGTTAATTATTATCGCTATTTTATAAACTTATTAAGTTTTTTTTTTTTATTGCTTAGATTGGTGGACGAGCTCACAGCCCACCTGGTGTTAAGTGGTTACTGGAGCCCATAGACATCTACAACGTAAATGCGCCACCCACCTTGAGATATAAGTTCTAAGGTCTCAGTATAGTTACAACGGCTACCCCACCCTTCAAACCGAAACGCATTACTGCTTCACGGCAGAAATAAGCAGGGCGGTGGTACCTACCCGTGCGGACTCATAATAGGTCCTACCACCAGTGAAGGTCCTACCACCAGTGAATTAAGTATTCATATATATGAATTTCAAATGTAAGTGTAACAGGCATTATTATTTAAAATTATTTAAATAATTATTAAATTGTACAGTAGGCAGCGTTTTGGCTTCTGCCATTGCTGATATCCATGAGAGACGGCAACCATTCACCATTCGATGGGCTGTACGCGCGAATAAGGTCTTTTCACTGGTGGTAGGACCTTTTGTGAGTCCGCACGGGTAGGTAAGGTAACCACCACCCCGCCTATTTCTGCCGTGAAGCAGTAATGCGTTTCGGTTTGAAGGGTAGGGTAGCCGTTGTAACTATACTGAGACCTTAGAACTTATATCTCAAAGTGGGTGGCGCATTTATATTGTAGATGTCTATGGGCTCCAGTAACCACTTAGCACCAGGTGGGCTGTGAGCTCGTCCACCCATCTAAGAAATAATAAAAAAGGCAATAAAAAAAAGATGTCAACTCACGTTGTAGGAGTGTCTGCGACGAGGGGTGTGGAGTCATCATCAGATGGCTGCAGTAGAGCACCACTGAGACCCATGGCCAGTCTCTTCATAAGAGGCGGCCGGTCCCCCAGTCTTCGGTAGCAGTTGATCTCGGTGGGTGAGTTTGACTCTTCTGAACTGCTCGGACTTGCCTCGTTCACAAGTTTCGTTACGCCCATGATGTCGCATTTCGCTGGCGATCTGAAATTAAACAGCCCATTTAAATTTAAAGAAAGAAACTCCGAAAAATTCCTTACTACCGACGAATTAAATTTTTAACTTTCGGTTGTGTCCAATGACTTCCATAACCATGCAATACCAGGATTGATGCAATATTGTCGATGCGTCTAGAGTAAAAAAAAACACCAGTGTGCTTAGTGCGAGTTCTTTAACGTTCTCGATAGCGTAAAAGTTAACTTTGTATGCAGTTAGAACAGTACCCCTAGCGGCAAACGTAGGCAAACGTTCCAACTCCATACAAATTTGAGTTAGCTTTTACGCTATCGAACACGTTAAAAAACTCGCACTACGCACACAGCACAGACCACGAAAACTATAAGGCTCTCGACACGTCTGAAAAAATACATAATTAATGACAATAAAAAAGCGAGGTAAAATCGTAAAATTTGTTTTAAATTGCGAGAGATGAGATATTTAAATTGACTGATGAAAGGCGATTGCATGCAGCAGAGATGCGAATGTTGCGATGGATGTGTGAAATAACTAGAATGGAAAGAATACGGAATGAATTTGTTATACGAAGTTTGAAAGTGGCATGATGGCACCTGTGACACAAAAGTTGAGAAGTGCGCGTTTGGGATGGTATGGACACGTGATTAGATGAAATGAAAATGAGTTTGGTAAGAGTGTGTTAACTATGAATGTGGAAGAATAAAGAGGAAGAGGTAGACCTAAGAAGAAATGGATGGATTGCGTGAAAGACGATGTGTAAGAGAGGAGTGAGCGAAGAAATGATATATGATAGAGGAGTATGGAAAGAGAAAAAATGTTGCGTCAACCCCAGGTGACTGGGACAGGAGAATGATGATGAGTTTTAAATTGAGAGATCCTAATAGGTCATTGACACTTACCTATCTCCACAATGCGGGTAGTGGTGCATGAGTCCTGGCAGGGTGTCGGGGGCTCGAACGCCCATGCCGTTACACTCGCTGCTTAGCTCCTTGCTCTGAAACAACGTATATTATTGGTATAACGTCAGAGGAATAGAGACTTTAGCCCGGTATCTGAAAGTAGACATTGCCACTGCGTGGTCTACAGGTACTCGTGTGCTCACCAAACCAATAGCGATGACTGAATACGTATATGAGACGTTACTAACAATCTTCAGTGTCTACTCGAAGGAGACTTAGTACAATTGTTGCGGGCGCTTGCTAAGCTTAGACTCTATTCTCAATAACATCAACTCTTGGGGTTATAGGAATACATACTCACTTAATTAAGTAATTGTCATAGACGTTGTGATCTCTCAGTAAGTGTGTGTTTGTTTTTTTAGTGCTTACCATAGATATATCAAAGTTAACGCCGCCTTGTGAATAAGTTCGAAGACTAGATAATATTGCATAATACCTCTCCCACCCTCCAAACCCAGTAGGATCGCTACCCGTGCGCCCGGGTTGACAAGCCACTAATGCAGGAATTAATTTTCTTATTCATAATATTATTAATCAGAGTGATCCGTAAACAAGTGTGAAGTACGAATTTCTTTGGTCAAACTTATACTGTTTTATTGCTATTTCTGACAAAAAAAAAATATCGCTCATGGCATTACCTACTGATGCACATTGCCAATACAAAATATTTTGCTAAGACATCAACATTAAGTCGTTCGATTCTAGAAATAGCCTAAGGCTAATTATAATCAAACCTAATCGAAAATTATAGTTGATCGTTCATTAATGAGAAACATGTTTAATTAAGGCAAGAACATAAACCGATGCGAACTGGCGTTCTAATTAAACAAGAATCCAAATGCTTAAACATCAAAGAAACTCAAAAATTTTCACGTTAACCTTTTAAACATTTAAACATTTCGGTACAATATTTCATCGCGGTCATTAAAGAACTAGTATTTACGTTCCGACACATCGGAATGCACTTAAATCGGTGCATTTTATCTCTCAAACAATAATGTAATAGAATGTCAAGGCACGAAGTGTACGCACGAGAAAATATTTCACTTTGAACTTCAACGGAAGTTTCGTCATTAAAGAGAAGTATTTTTGAGACAAATTCTATATTTAAAATTTTGTTAGCAATCCATTTCCTTTCGGGCATACAACTCATAGATAGCGAGATTGTATCACGCGTTAGTTGGGTAGTTTTTCGTGTCCCACTATTCAAAGCGAAACGCATTACTATTTTACGGCATAAATAGGCAGCACTATACCCGTGCGGCCTCACAAGACGCCCGCCCTGCCACCAGTAATTACGCAAAATGTATTTTTTTCGGCTTTGATTTTTATTACACGATGGACTTTTCTTATTCCATCACCGTGGAACTCTTTCGTGAACATATTTTGATAAGTACAAATTTCTTTAGAAAAAACTAAGCGTCACTGTGGGGTACAAACACCACCCATATCTTTATCAACCATCACCAATTGATTTGTAGCACCATCATCAAATATACGTCTTTGCATTTGGCTAATAAACAGGATAGAGTATTTTGAACGTTTATATAATAATTAATTTTTCTATCAAATTCAAAGCACGCCATAGCTCACTCAGTACCTTTTATGGCGGGTGGAAATATAAATTTTAATACATCTTGATTACGATTCCCATAAACTTGACTAGTAACAATTAATGAGCCTTCTTAAGTATCGAAGTTTTTATTGGAACAAAAACAAATGAAATCAAGAAAATCGTTGTACTGAATACACTATTCTTAATACCTAATTTTGCGTATGTCTCCTGAGTAATGAGACACGATCCCAAAGGCAATACGACACCAAACCAGATTGGGTAAGTTAATGCTGGTACTTTTATTTTGAGCTCATTCCCATTCAGAGCCTCTTACCGAGATCGGCAGTTTCATCCGTATGTTTCGAGTCGTAAAGTCTAAATTTCTGGTTACCGTACGTAGGCTTTGCGGTTTAGTGACAGGATGTGTTTTGCTAAACGCACTACAGATCGCAATACGAATTACGGTGCTAAACATTTAAGTGCAGAATCATCTAGAGATAAAGATCAGAAAGGCTTGCATTCAAAGCCAGATTTTATAAGACCACGGAAGATGTTTATTCGTGACCGGCAGAGGTTATTAACAATGTCAAATTTAACAGGCTGAAGAATACCATACCATATAAATTTAACATTATAGGATTTTTTTTACACTTTCATCGTTCATGAATAAATTATTAGTATGAAATTACGTATTTCTTCCGAAATGTTGTACCTACTGCGGGATTTAAAAACTGCTATTAACTGTTGACTGTGGTCTATAAAAGTTCCATCCCATTCCCGTGGGTGTATTAAAATCCAATTAAGAGATTCACCGGAAAATGCGCAGCACTAGTCTCAGATTACTGCAATCGCAAGCCTTCAGTGAGGCATTTATTGATAGAGAGGAAGTCCGCTTGGGTAAGAACCATCATCCTATCTATATCTGCCGAAAACTATTCCTGCGTTCCGATAAGAAGGGTGTAGCAGCGCCATAAAATACAACTGGGACTTGGATTTCACATTCCGCGAGCAACTTTACACCAGATGGACCATGACCTTTTTTTATTGCCCGAGCAGGCAGACAAGCATACTGCCCACCTGATGGTAAGTGGTTACCGTCGCTCATGGACCTCAGCAATGCCAGGGACAGAGCCAAGCCGCTGCCTACCCCTTAATAATCTCAAACTCTTTCTATAATACCACGAAGCCTAAACAAAATTTAAGTGAATTTATCTTATCTTATATTATCTTTAAACGAGCAATTCTTGTATATATATATAATCTGAATCTTGGAAACGGCTCCAACGATTTTCATAATATTTAGTATACAAGTGATTTTGGGGTCGATAAATCGATCTGGCTACAATTTATTTTCAGAAAATTTTGTTTTATTCGTGATTTCAATAATCAACTTTATCGATAATTTTGATATTTTTTCTTTAAATAACCAGTTCCATATTTTTTTTATTATTCTGTCGAACTGTAAGGAACGAAGTTCCTTATTATAAAAATATTCATTTTAAGTTCTATTCGAGGTATAAAGAAAATAAAACTAGAGGTTTTGCAACAGCCCACGGTCATTCGGTAACGTGCTAACTTATTGTGGTACACTTCATTCACGGTTGTTTGCATAAGAGTTAGTGTATTGCGCAAACGAACGCTCTGAGATCGTGGTCAATGAATGATTAAAAAATGTTATTTTTCGTACGTCATTGCAAAATTAGGTCGTACACTGTGTGCATTACTAATAAAAATCTTACGTTACGGACGTTTTTTCCCCGTTAGCGTACCCCTCCGCATCGTCCCATAAGGAACTTCGTTCCAAAAAAAAAACCGATCATTATCTAGTTTCATTTAAAGTTCGCAAAGGTCCTGTGTGCACATATCCGCTTACCCCTCCATAGACGTTCCTTTAAAAGTCAATAACACCTAAACATTGATTGGTGTAAGTTTTTCAGAACAGAAGACACGTAGCATATGAAATATTCAGAGCTACCCCCGCGCCGACAAAGGTTTTACGGCTGTGCACTTTTCAGGTCAGAGCACGTGAACAACTGTAAAAATAGGGACAACTGTCGTTCGTCGTGTGAGTCAAAACGAAAATATGTTCTATACAGTTTACATAAGACATCGTTTTGTTTTGCAAGAACATAATATTATATTGTTTTGAACGAATTTTACGAAATCGAGCGTGTGCGATGTTAATATGGTAACCGCATGTTTTATTGGACGCCTATCTGAATCTTAGATTTATTATAAAATATAAAACTATATATTGGCTCTATAGTTTAGAAATAAAAAATATTCTATCTTCAATGAGCATTTTCTTTAATTATACGAATTATGTATTCCATGGTGAACCCTTGGTAAACAAATGAAATTGGGTATCAAGTATACATGTCTGTTTAAAAAGATAAGAAAGGTTTTTTTTAATTACCTGTCATTAAAGCCTAATAGTCATTCCTTAAGATTAGTTAAAAAGATTAACTCAATTTACTGAGTTTGCGTGCGCAAAGTCAATACCAGATATCTAAGTAGAAAACGGTCGTTAGAAACTGTGCATGTTTTGGTGCTTAAAACAAATAGGACGTCTTGGATATGTTTGAGATTTAAACAAAATTCGGAAAAAAAACGTTCAACTATATTTTTTATAATGTTTTCATTGCACCGTACGTAAGAGACAATAAATAAATCAAGTGACGCACGGGGTCAACGGTCTCGAAGGAACTTGATTAGTAAAGGGGCTGCATTGCGAGTCAACGAAATAAAAAATTAGGAAAGCATAAAGTATATTTATTCAATTTTCGTAAATTAATTCGATCAATAAAATATTTTGTAAAAAGTTAAAACTTCAGTTAACAGAATATTGAAATGTCTACGCGACACCTTAGCCGTTCGTGACTGAAAATTTTACAGTTTCCAAATGTCTCAAAAAAATGTACTAATTAATTAAAAGTAATGAAAAATAAAAAGTTAATAATTTTATAACATTATTTTTAATTACAAATATCACCACTCATGTAGACACAATGTGTAATTGAAGTAACAAATATTCAGTTGCAACAAGCTATCCCAGAATCAAATCGAAAACGGGCTATTGCATCGCTTCAGAAATAATCTAGGCAGGATAACCGTACCTACCTTAGTAGACTCATATATGCAAATATTAAACTCTATATTATGTTACACATTTTGTTATGACTGCTACAAAGTTGTGTGCCTGACTTCTTTTTTAAATGGCTTCAAGTTTATTTAAAAACTGTAAGCTTGTTCCACAATATTTAAGTAATCTAAGTAATATTGGATAATGCCAATAGCTTGGTATAAGTTAGCTACAAGCTATATATAGATCTTTCAGTCAATGGACAGAAATGTCGCTGGGTTGTCCCCATCTGTCTAGCCGATAAACGTAGGGTAAAACGGGTGCTTGAGTGAAGATGGAAATGTATATTGTAAGTGTACCCTATACAGAACTAGGGGGTTCGAAGCATTCAAAATTTA